AAGTTTTTTCATCTTTTCACGGTGTATAATTTACCTTTTCATCATTACTGTTTCATTAGAAACACCGACGCAGCTCACACTAGTTCTTAGCTAGTTATATCTTTTCAAACAAGTTAATATTTTAAGACCACTGACATTGGTTCAAAAGTCATTTAGATTTTGTAAGTATTCAATTAAAAATTTGCAAGAAAATTAGAGGGTGGAGTCGCACTTGGCTCCTCATAAGAACCCTCAAAATAAGCTGATAAATAACTTATCCAAATCAAACTTCAAACGAAGAGAACCATACTACGACACGGCAACGCATGTACGATACGATGGCAAGAAACTAAAGAATGACGAAGGAAAAATTCAAGCACGCGGTACAATATCATCATAAGCCAATGTTTTAACATTAGGAAAAACACAACGAAGAAGACAAGCTAACGGCACGGCAACGGTGCATCGATGATACGACGGCAAGAATCCCGAAAATAACGAAGGAAAAATTCAAGCAGGCGGTACAATATTATCATAAGCCAATGTTTTAACATTAGGACAAACACAACGAAGAAGACAAGCTTACGGCACGGCAACGGTGCATCGATGATACGACGGCAAGAATCCCGAAAATAACGAAGGAAAAATTCAAGCAGGCGGTACAATATCATCATAAGCCAATGTTTTAACATTAGGACAAACACAACGAAGAAGACAAGCTTACGGCACGGCAACGGTGCATCGATGATACGATGGCAAGAATCCCGAAAATAACGAAGGAAAAATTCAAGCACGCGGTACAATATTATCATATGCCAATGTCTTAACATCAGGAGCTGAGTTTGTCATGTGTCTTGAGAATTTTAAATTCGCTGTACTGCTCGAGGGAGAATATGATAGAGGTGTCTTACGTGATGTAGAGAGAATAGGTGATGTATTCGGACGCTCGTCTCGCGGAGAAGGCTGTAACGTCATAGAGTAAGTCCTAAATCGACCTGTTTATGAATAAAAAGAAGAAATGTAAAGCAAATTCATTAAGAGGCGTTACAGCCATTCTCAATCACACGCGAAGCTTTCTGTCGCAACGGACAAGGTTTTGGTGGGCGTCAATCACAAGGCGTTTCTATAACATTGTCGGAAAAACACAAAGCTATAAAAGGGCACGTATTTATAGAATGTCATGGAAACGCCTTCATTGACGTCCACCAAAAGCTTCTTCGTCGCGACAGAAACAATCGCTAGAGGGTGCGTGTGATTGAGAATGGCTCAGTGTAACGCGTTGACCATTACAGTGATAAACTTGTGTCAGACGGGTTATGTTGGCTAGATTCCTACTAATCTATATTAGTAAAGCGCGCTCAAATTGAGTCTATACCGGTTTTTTTTAAACGTAACTCAAAACAAAAGTCATCCGATTCGAAATGTTATCGTTATAACCTCTTAATACAGCTCAATTTGGAGGACATAACAATAGGTTTCCAATTCTCATGAGATTGAAATTCTTTTGTTCTTTTCTCCAAATAGAGCTGCTTTGACGCCACATGCAAGGGGTCTMTTGTGAAGCTTTTCAAGCTGTCTCTTTTACCCTCCACAATTGGACACGAGATGAATTAACATGAATGAAATGTTCCACAATCGAGGAAACTTCTGGAATACCGTGGGGTTGTTATTTCAGCATCTTTGCGGGTTTTGTTTTGCCGTGCGATTCAAGAATTCCAGAGCGCCGCCGCATCGTAGAGTATTACATTATATTTGAATAGTGCAGTTTTCGTATGACTGTGAAAAGTGTACGGCACGAACACGGTCGTGACACAGCAGGGGATACGCCAGACCAATCACATTGCTCGAGAATTTACTCTCCATCCAATCAAATACCCGGAACACGGCGCGGACACGGTCACGCCAAGATCACGGTACTTTTAGACCAATCATATTGCGCGTGAAAAAAGTCAGCCAATTAAAATTCACGGTCATGGCACGTCACACTTACGGCACTGTCACAGTCATACGGAAACTGCTCTAGTCTTGGACTTACAGTCTTGTATTGAACCAGTGGACTTTGATGCAGGTCTGGTTAGCCTCTGTTTGGGAAGTTGCAGCTTGTTGCTTTTTCCTTGATTCTCAGGATTCTTTCCGTGCACAACTATGAAAATAAATATTTATATAAGAGATCCCGTCCTGTCTAATAAGTTGTTTTAGAGTAACAATATAATTTTAATTATTTTCTTCAAAGGAAAGTTCAGTGGCAACACTTCCCACAGGGTGCTCAAAACAGCTTGGGTGTAATGTATTCCCATCTTAAATCACGTGTCATTCTCTTGAGAATAAGATTCTTGTTTAAGTTGCATCAATGTTCATGGATCTTTTTATGCACAACTGTTAAGGAAAGCAATTATACTCTATGGAATGACTGCGCCATTTGTACATATCTTAAACTCTAATATGTGTTTGATGAGAACAGAGATGATGGATTATTTACCATAAGTAGATCCTGTTATTCCTGTACTCAAAACTGCATTGAGTGGAACATGTCGTTCTTTATTGCCATCTATAATCATAGAAAATATCATCATCATCATCAAGCATCATCAAAATCGTCAACACAATCAATGTTATCACCATTATTATCACCAAAACTACTATTTGTAATTTAAAACGTTYATGAGCTGGTTTGACTGTAACAGTCCCATCATCGCCTCCATCATCGATCCATTATGATCATCACCATCGTCATCATTTATCATTACAGTAAAAACCCGCATAAAAGAACAAGTGGGTTAAGAACACCCAGCCTGAATTTGGGCGTTTTAAGTACCATGTAAATAAGGACACAATCAGCCTGAAATATTAAAAAGTGTTCTTAAAAATAATAAGATCAATATTTATGCCTCCTCATCGGTACTCATGTATACGCTGATATCGAAGGRGGGGACGGTTAGATTACAGTGTTACCAGTAGCAGACTCCAAACCTACTGTTTTGACACAGTTATTATTATAGCAGTCAAGATTTTTTTTAATAACATTTTTGAACTTACACATTGATATTATCTACATGTATTGGTAGTCTATATAGTAATACTGTTATATATTTTAGAAACATTTATTTTAAGAACACCTTAAGAACACCTTCAGGCTGATTTTTCAGTAAACACCCGTCAAATAAGAACAAAATCAGTCTCAACTCCAAAAATGGGTGTTCTTTTATGCGGGTTTTTACTGTATTAAATAAAAAGACATCCACAATAAAAACATTAAAAAATTCATTTGTACCTGTATTAATAGAATTTAATATCAATTCTCTCTCCTTTGTCTTTTCTGCATCTCCTTCATCCTTACTCAGATCATCTGGTAAAGTTGATACAATTATAACCCCAGGGGGGAGGRACAGGTTGTCATCATCATCRTCATTATCAATAATATTACTCAAATTATCATCAGAAAGATCGTCTGATATTTTGTCTGGAGAGCTTGACGTGTCCCAGGAGGACACAAATACTCCATCACTATCTTTAACAGCCGCCTTGGGAACAAAGGAGGGAGGTGGTAATGCTGGAGTGCCCTGGAAAAGAGTAGGTAAAAACTTTCAAAAATAATGTAAGTAAGGTCTGGATGGCTACTGTTTAGATCAAAGGTCAGAGACATGCTCGTGCCGTATCCTTAAAAGAAGGAATTTAAAAGAACAGGGCTAGGTTGTACGAAGCCTGGATAGTGCTATCCGGCAGATAATTCCTTATCCAGTGGATAAGTCRATGCTGTTATCCAATAAATTTACCCACTGGATAAGATTTATCTGTCAGATAGCRCTATCCAGGCTTCGTACAACCGGACCCAGAATAACTAAGCAACATGGTGATGGGAGCTCAGTAATCCTAAAAGATAAAGATGTTATTTACTGTCCTAAAGCTGGTCTGGATAGGAACAACTGTGCCTGAGGTCTTGAATATAATATATATTTTCTTTCATCAAAAATAAATTAATTGGATCTACCACACCATGATGGATGGAAAGCCTAACAGGTTTGATAAAGCTACCAACAAATTGGATTAGATTTTAGAAGTTGATTTTTGTGGAGGGATGAAAAACCCAAGAATCCTGAGAAAAAAACCCTCAAAGTACAGGAGGGAATCAACAAACAACTTACTCTACTCACATATAATGTCACTGAGCCTAGTGGGAATCAAACCTGAGTTACCTTGGTGAGAGAGTAGTACTCTTATTAATAAGCTACCCATGCTTTCCATTTTCTTTCAGTAATCGTCATCATCATACAATACATATCCAAGGACGGATCCGGCCAAAATTTTAGGGGGGGGGGGGCTAATTGACCGTTTCTTCCATCAACACGGTGGAAAACAATTTTAAATACACACCTTTATAGCAAGGCCTATGACATATATCCATTGATGACGCTGTAAATTTGTAGAACACTGTACAACAATCAAGAGCAGGATTGTTAATAATTGGGCTTCCTATGAATATAATAATAACAATAATAATAATAATNAATAATAATAATAATAATAATAATAATAATAGTCTTTATTACATTGATAAAATACATATCGTATGTAACATAAAAAATGATAGAAATGTAGAAATGTACAATAAAACCTACAATGAACATAAAGTCAATACAAATATAAATATACTGCTAAATTATAATTTCATAAATATTTCTATAGAGGGACCTTAAGATTCACAACTTGAGTGAGGAGGGAGATGGCGAATGTGTGCAAGGCATCATCCTTGCCATTGCTAGAATTTAAGTTGTTGCTTTTTCAAGTCCTAGCTAAGTAATGGTAATAAGGACAACGGCATGCCCATGAAAAACAGGTTTTGATAACGTGCTCGCATCTTCATCCATTCTCCCTATCCTCTCTCCTATGGATATAATAATGATAATRATAATAATAATTATCATTATYATTATTATGGCAAGTTTTATTTGTCTGTATATATCATGTTTACATTGACCAGCGGACTAAGKCTAGGCTGGTTAAGTTCATMATTTTTTACAATCCTTTCTTCAGCTTATGCATATTCATAGAACGTCTTGACTATATTGACGTTCTGGCTTAAAATCCATTTCTGGCATCGTTCTATAAGAAAGTTCACTTCCCTGTCTGTATTTGTAATTTTTCTTAGCTGTTCGTTTTCGTTCGTATTATTATTATTATTATTATTATTGATGTTATTACTATTATTATCATCATTATTATTATTATCACGTCTTCATTCTGTTTCTCTATCCTCTCTCCTATCATGGATCATAAGATCACTATTTCTAAAGGGAGGGTGTGAGTTTGAGGAATACTGAATAGCTTTGTGCAACTGTTACCTTAAAAAGATGAGTTCCTCTTTGCGTTGTGATATAAAACGGAAAACTATAATTCCTTCTTTTGCTTACAGAACATTTTGTATCCTTGGACAACTCCAACGATCCTCGGAACTGATCAAAGTACATATAAAACAAATGTTAGCATATAATATATACACATAGCATTGGACTCAAATTTCAAGTTTCCGTTTGTTGACTGGTTACATGTGGAAAGAGCATTGGTAGGGCAAGGGAGGGGTGAAGGAAGGAATGAAGAGAAGGCAGGGGTAATCTGAGAGATAGAAGTGTGAAGATGGTTTAGGAAGGAAGGAAAGTGGAGAGGAAAAAGAGCRGGAAATAAGAACGGGGTTGGGATGAGGGAAATCAAACTTGTAATAATATGGAGGGGTGGATACTACATTTTTTTTAAGGAATATTGATCGCATGTGCATGCCTCTGTACTATGATATAAACACACTGGGGGCTGTAGAGCATGAGAGAGAAGCGAGCCTAGAAAACAAGGCRTAGCTGAGTTTTTCTCTTGCTTTTCAAGCTCTTTACAGCTCCCAGAGTGTTTATATCACAGTACAGAGATATAAGCAGCCCTTTGATATTGCTTTTATAAAATATTTTTTAAGACTATTGCATGAGCAKGTCTCGTCCTCTGATATGAAAACAGTAGCCAGCCAATYAGCGCACAGGTYATATMTCAAATATTTTATAAAAGACTATAATAGTACRATGATTATTACACACTCACATTGTTTCTGTCTGTGATATTCTTATTGGCATAGAACAGCATCCATGAACCACGGATCACCACCCAATAGTCTTTCCACTGAATATTATCACAAAGATCATAATTAAACCATTATTTCATGGGAAGCTCAGTATTTTAATATCGTTGAAATAAATGTCACAGCTAATAACTGTTGATCACAATTCGTATCTGAGGTTTTTTAGTTTAAAAAAAATGCATTTTCTTAGGAGTCCAGGTCGTCCTCAATGCCATCTAAGGGTTTTGAAAAGGCATCATTTTCATTTTGTAGTAATCCATAATCCCCCCCCCCCCCCCCCCCTCTCCTTTCCTTCTCATAGAGAAATCTTGAGATCCTCCTACCCCTGGAAATGTAATTTTTTTCTTTCTCTGACCCCCAACTCTCACACAGCATTCTTTGTCATGGATTCTGGATTACGCAGACTGACAATTATTTTATCACCAGTTATGTTAATAGCCTTTGCATAAACAATACTAAGCCACATTGGGCTTTTCTTCTTTTTTTGCTAATATCCTATAATCCATCAGGAATCATGTATACRGAAACTGAATACAAACATACAGCCAAAAAAAAAGTAACAACAACAGACCAATTTGAATAGCCCATAGTTTGGCTTTAATTTGAGGATTTCAGTTTTGGTAAATATTTTTTAATGTGAACTGAACCTTTTGGGGRAAAAAAAGTATAAGGGATTAACTGTTTACCTTTCCTTTTCCTTCTTTCTTTATTAAATACTCTTCATAATATTTCACAGGTAAATCTGTCATTATTCTAATTCTAAAAATTTAAATTAAAAAAATAAACATTCAATATTGTGTTGCCATAGCAACAAGGAGGGATATCATCAAAACAAGATACTTAGATAAGAGTTTGATGTTTTGATGCGTGTAATAATTAAGCTTTATTCGTTTATGAACCTAACATTTGAATTACGAGTTTCAGTCATAGCTTTTCTCGTATATCGATATTATATATTATATAAAGTATAAAAATCAAGTTCAAAATAAACATTTGTATAATATAAATATCAAAATTCAGTAAGCTTTAGTTTACTTTACACCATGCCATTTTTTCCTTTTTTTTTTTTTTTTTTTTTTCAATGCAAAATCATGAAAAAAAATTATTTTTGCATTTATTTTTGCATTGTAGAAGAAATCATGTTAAAAATTCGACAAAAAGAAAGCAGAGATTGAGATTTTGAATTTGTTTTGTCCATGCTATGGTAAGTACTATGGTCAATATGGACATTTTAATATTTAACTTGTTCTGCACAGATAGAAAACTTACAGCCCTGGAAGATAAATTAAGACATAAGAAGAAGAAAAGTCAAATGAATGAATATTATAACTAAGATAAATTTGAAATTTTAAACTAAAGAAATTACGGAGTAAAACATATCGTATCTTGCGCTATGAGAGCACACAAGTAAGCTTATAAAAATAGAAGTGTATGTGCACATTACCGTTTTCATTATAAAAATATAAGCTTACCTTTGAGAATTCAAATAAACTTCTCTCGCTGTAATGACAAACTTTTAGTTCTCTACAGATCTTCTTATTTTATGGCTGTTTTTTTGTCATTTTTGAAGTCGAAATTTGAAGTTTCGTCTCGGACGCCCAGTGCGTCGGTCCTCAGTTCTGTGGTAGTTTCATACGTTACCCAAAATAATACCACTTCGCTAACTCGGTTTTATAGAAGATTACTGAAGAATTCATAAATCGTTGGTGTATATAGAAGAGCCTTGTTAATGATAACTGTAGTTTTCGTTACTAAATACACTTGGAAGACTTAAACTTAGACGCGACGCAGAACCTGATCGCTTGTCGTTTTGGTGACTGTCAGACAGGACTTCGACAATCCCCTGACATCCCGCGAATTTTTTTGCAAAGATATAAGCTTAAGCTTACGTTTTTCGATAGACTACCTTCCTTCTCACATTTGAAAATAGAATTTTTTTGTACTGTAATCAGACTTAGTTTCAACGCCAAACGACATTCATTGAACGGATCTATGAATGGATTGAAGACTTGTATACACAATAACGGTATATGACGTATAGACACGCGGGACTTCCCGCAACAATCTCTCAAGCTCAGCACCCTTCGGGACTGTCCTCAAAATTTCTGACAAAATTTCTGACCACTTCCCAATCAGGTAACTTCCAAGTAATTACAATTGTTCTCTATGGAAATATGTGTTTCTTTGTAATTTCCATCTTAGCCTCACATCAAAATAGTCAGAGTTTTCAGAAGGCTCAGAATGAATTGCCCTATATTTCATTATGACGTCACTGCTTGTTTATGTGGGG